GCGCTATACATATAAAATTGAATTAAATTGAATTGTAACCAATTTTTTGTCATTGTTCCTACCTTATTATTAAATAAGAACTCAGTTATTAACAAATACTTATGTACAGTTTATTTTATGGTGATGCAGACTCTGACTGAGTGTCTACAACTTCTTCATAAACTGGCACAGGAGGGGAACAACATCAGCCAGGTGCGCAGTAGATCCCACTATGCTCCTTAAGCCTTGAACAGGAGTGTGCCCAGACGTTTTTGACATAAGTGGAGCACTACCGTATGCTTGGGTGGTATGATTTATAAGTCTCGTCTTTCCACTCATTCTAAATTTATGCAATTCCAACATTGTTGAGGGACCTCATTATTCTGGAACATTCAAATACGCTAGGTGACATATCAAGTATACAACATGAAATCTACATTACATAAACATAAAGTGGGCATGTCTGTATAGGGGATACTGGTTGGTACCCATAAAACACATTTTTATGCAGATATCTAGCTGCTGTTTCTGCTTTTAAAAATCCTAGGTTTGATAAGTACTTGTTAAACCTATTTCAGCGTAAGACATGAAACATGTGCCGTAGCTCTGAATTTAGTTCATGTTTCCTTTGGTTGTATGGGTAGGACTGAATTCATGTAAGTGCACTTTGGCAACCACATTCAAGTGGCATTCAGGACTAATTCCATAAGGACGTGGGGAAATTGCACTTCCTCTTTGTAGAGACTTGAGTTCTTACCTACAGTGATTGTAGTATTAATCATACTGACCATATAATGTCAGCTGGTGGTGTAATAGATTCAGTAGGTTAGGAGGTAAAGGATTGTTGATAATGATGATCCTGTTCTCTTGCAATCAATCTCCCGCATAAAGTAATGTTTAACTTTGCATCGTTAAAATTGATATAAGCCTATGCCATACAGAAAAAGTGCAGCCATGTGCATTTCCAATCAAACCCTTAGCCATAATTTACATAAAAGATACTTAAAGTACACCATATACATTAACTATGAATACGTGAATCAGCTTTATGACATATTATGTGCAAAAATAACAGTCATAGACCAGTTGTAGAACTTATACTTCTTTTACTTTGGCAGTGGATTCAGAGTGCCTCAGGTAATTTCCTAATTTAATCTATTTCCAACACAACAAACATTCCAAGGTCCAGCTAGTAGCCCCTACAGTATGCAGTGTTCATCACATGCACATTATGAAAATGTATTCTCTAACTGGGTGTGCAATCTTGGTGTGCCTCATTGTAAAGTGTTACCAGATTTCCCATTGATGTTGTTTATATTTGAGAAGTGCGTCACATAATGACAAACAAATACCTTCCCTTGTATGTGAAGACCAAGATGCACAGACGGTGATGGCAAAATAGAATGCAATAAAAGCCAAGAGCATACATCAAAAATGTTGTGGCACTTGCACCCAGTCCAGTATTCAACCGTTTTTGACAATATGCCAAACTTGATTTAAAAATAGTTTACTAAAGCCCTTTTCCCAGACACTTTCAAGATAATAAATTAATTTGTATTTATTATTATAGATCATGAGTGGTCTATAGCAGTTTTTACAAATTGGTGGACCAAGGACCAACAGCGGGTCCCTAGCAAAAGATGATATTAAATTAAAAAAACTTTTATCACATTAATCTAAAGTTGAAAAACAAAATCTTTATTTCTTAAAACCAAATCTCCCCTCAAATTGGGGGTCTATGGTCTAATTTAGTCCATGTCATGAAAATAATAATAATAGAGATAGATAGAATAATAATAGAGATAGATAGAATAATAATAGAATTTATTTGAATTGAATTGAATTACTCCCAGCACCGTGGCACTATCACTATTACCAATAATCCTGTACTTGAATCCCAGTGTCTGTCCGGTTGGATGTCAGCACCAGCCATTCCTGGCTGGACGTGTCCTCAGACTGCCTGCAGGTCCAGGAAGCAGCAGTGAGCTCCACTGCTCTCTCAAACAGCAGTCAACGTTTTACTGAGTGGCCCTGTGTGCTGGGTGACACTACTGGGAGGTGGAGGTGTCCCCTAAGGGTAGCTGGAAAATAGGTGTGATGTCAGAGTTTGCTCCCAGGAAACAAAGATGCACCATGTCACTCAGAAGAAGATTCTGGATCTTGTGAAAGGGCTCCAGTTTGTGGGTCTATACCGACAACCCCACTAAGCTACATAGGGTGGCTATGCCCCGACTGATGAGGGTGTATGTGGATGTTGGGGAGTTTCAGGTGTCTTTTTATGATGTTGTTCGAAGGGTTCACATCTATACTTTTTCTGATACCTTCAAACATCTTCAACATCCCTCTGTTTTCCTGCATGGATGGAGACATAGTCCTTAAAATCATACTAGCATGTCAGTCACTGCTGGATCTCTGTAGAATAGATACAGAAATGCCTTATGTTCAGACATGTCGATAGAATAAGAATATGGATGACCTCATTACTTAAAGGTCCAGTGGGTAACATTTAGGAGGATCTTTTGGCAGAAATAAAATATAATATTCAAAGGTATATTTTCATTGGTCTATGATAACTTGAAAATAAGAACTGTTGTGTTTTCTTTACTTTAAAACAGGAACTGAAACTGCCGGCCTGGGGGCCATAGCTGAGATCAGATCATTTTCTTGTCTTCAGAATGACCACGCCCCCTTTTGGGTGAAACAAGTGCCCAGTGGTACTATGCCAAAAAGCAGAAAGCTGGGGAAGAAGTGAAGTTAGTAGCATGCATTAATGGGACATGAATGAGTGCAGAAAGAGAGAGAGACAAAAAGAGGAGCTCAGTGCATCAT